TAAATAAATAAATAAATGTGATTTAAAAAATAGAAGGTAAGTGGAAGAGGGGGAACTTCAAAGCTAGAATGTTCCACGAAGGGCTCTGGGATCCGGGTTTTGTGGCACAGTTCCACATCTAGAGGTTTCTGGAGTACGTACGAAAGCCCAAAGGTGTGAGCATCTGGGACGGACTTGAGAGCTGCATCAGTACTTCTCGACACGCGTGACAATGAATGGGTGCAGGATCCCAGCAGAAGATGGCCAGCGCTGGAGAGACGCTCTCGGAGCGGCTGGGGATTCAGAGCTTAGGCGCAGGAGCACGGCTTTCCAAGGTGAGGAGCACAGCTCTCCGAAGTGGGGATCACGGCTCTCCAAGGTGAGGAGCACGGCTCTCCGAGGTGAGGATCACGGCTCTCCAAGGTGAGGAGCACGGCTCTCCGAGGTGAGGAGCACGGTTTTCCAAGGCAAGGAGCACTGGAAGGGGAAGAGCGCTATGCCCTGCCTTTGGAAGGCGCTCGGGTCCATTTGAGGTGGCTCCCGACGTGCGGGATAAGGATTTCCAAGTACAAGTTTAGACAGTGATGGAGGGACAGAAAAACAGAGGAAGTCAGGCAACAAGATACAGAATATCGCCTGCAGTGGTTAAGAATAGGAAGACTATAAAAGCAGTTCTGAGAAACTGTAAGAAAAGTAAAGATTGGGCTTGACGGTGAGAGGAGGGGTTATTTGGAGAACATGGGATCTCTTTCCTCATGAACTTGAAGTTTCATACGTCAGATGGGTATCTGCCGGACACTGAGAGGTGGGAGGGGTGATACTGAACACTATGTAAATGCTGGCTGCTCCATTAGAGAGACTTCCCCTGCAATTGTCGGGCTTCTCGTGAACCACCATGTTCAAAGCTCTTTTTAAATACAATTTATATTCGTTTAATAAAATTAAATTGTGTTTCCCCTGCACACAGACACTGCTTTTACAGTATATTCAAAAGGTACAAAATAAAGCTCCGCCTTCCCGATTCTGAAAAGGACTTTCCGGCAGTTGCCTTTCTTCTAGTGAGCACGAGGTGGCGCTCTTCTCTAGACTAAAGGCTTCTTCAATGGACGAAGACAGGCTTGAAAAAGTTGATGTCAAAGGAATTTTCATCCATTTAATCTCTGTATGTCACAAAAGTTTCCAGATTTTAGTTTTAAAGAAGGAAGGAAGAAGGGGGGGAGGGAGGGAGGGAGGGAGGGAGCCACCAACATGGCTCAGTGTGTAAAAGCCCTTACCTGGCGACCTGAGTTCACGCTCCAGAAGCCATGTAAAGGTGGCTTCCACATATACACTGTAGCATGAGCCATCCCCACACCCATATTACAAAACACTGTATTCACTATCACACACACACACACACACACACACACACACACACACACGGAATGAATTTTTAGAAAAAGAGAAAGAAAGAAAGAAAGAAAGAAAGAAAGGAAGGAAGGAAGGAAGGAAGGAAGGAAGGAAGGAAGGAAGGAAGGAAGGAAGAAAGCCATAAACCACAGTGACATGTGAGAAGCCGGGTGCCCGGAGCATGCTCATGACAATATGAGAGAGGACATTAGCTTGTCACAACGAGCTCCACTAACAGTGGATTTAATCATACTTCGGCTCTAAGTCTTTGTATTCAAACAGATTTTCTCCTAAGCTGTCAATGTCCTCTTGATTCTCGTGCAGTAGTTTCACTGTACTCAATCAAAAGTGCAAGTGGGATATGTCCGTGGTCTACTGTCACTGGCCTTTTCCTGACTTCTACCAAAATCACCCGCTCAGTCATCAGCCAGGCCTTGCCCCAGGGAGGGAGGGCTCCTACAGCTGTTCTGCCTGAACCTGATGGTTAGAACCATGTGAAAAGGAGAAGGGGTGGGTGGGGTGCCCATCTTCACCTTGGCACCAGATCTCATTTTCCAGCCAGGCTTTATCCACATTAGTGGTAGGAATTGTCTAGTGTACGTGAGACCTTTCATTTGATATCAGGCAATACTAGGGAAAAAAGGGGCGTGGGGAATACATGGATGCCTAAATAGGTAAAACAGTACACGAGTCTCTGATTTCTTGATCACCTCATGTTCTCTTAAAGTTTTAAAGTTCCTTCTAATTTTTTAAGAGATTTATTTTATTTTGAATTCCCTCTCTCTGTCCTTCTGTCTCTCTCTGTCTCTGTCTCTCTCTCTCTGTCTCTCTGTCTCTCTGTCTCTCTGTCTCTCTCTCTCTCTCTCTCTCTCTCTCTCTCTGTGTGTGTGTGTGTGTGTGTGTGTGTGTGTGTGTGTGTGTGTGCGCGCATATGAGTACAGGTGCCTTCGGAGCCCAGAGGCAGGAGATCTCCCTGGAGCTGGAGTTATAGGCAGTTTTTAGCTGCTTCATACAGGTGTGGGAACTGAACTCAAGTCCTCTGTAAGAGCCATGCTCCCTTTTTTTGCGGGGGGGGGGGGGGGGGTACAATAATTTATTGAGATCCCTCCCTCCAAGCCTTTGCAATCTTGAGGTCGTTTTCTCTGCTTGTAGATCTTTTTTGCTAGTTCCAACAAGATGGCTGGGGGCAGGGACGCAGAGTACTGTTCTTTCAGGCTCTTGAGGAGGCCGTAACTGCCTTCCTCGTCCTTGAAGCGCACAGCTGGCGGATCCAGCGCTTCATACACGGCTTTCACCTGCGCCACCCTCTCTGGGTCCTTCCGCCCATGATTCTCCTCTAAGATCTGGCGCTGTTGCGGAGTGGCACGTTGCAGACACTGAGCCACCAGCCAGCTGCATTTGCTGCCCTGCATGTCAGTGCCGATCTTTCCAGTCGCACTGGGGTCGCCAAAGAGACCAGGGTAGTCATCCTGGATCTGAAAGAACTGGCCCATCTCCATCAGGCTCTTCATGGCATCAATGCCTGCCATGTACTGTGGCAGCTGCAGCAGGCGGGTAGAAAGAATAGAATGCTGTCTCGTACTGGACAATAGATCTGTACCTCTTTTCAGTGGGTCTACCAAGATCCACGTGGCCCTGGGGTGCTGTGATGAGGTCGAGAGTCTGCGCGACCTCCGTCTGATCGGAACCCTGCAGAAAGAGCTCCAGCAGGTTCAGGTAGCAGGGCTGCTCCCTGCAGCAGAATTTCAGTAGGTCATAGTGCAGACTTCCAGAAGCAGAGCATCGTTGATGGCATCCAAGCCGATGCCTGGCTTCTGATACCAGCAGATCTGTTCGCAGCAAGTGACGGAAGAATCCACGATGTCATCTGACATAAGCAAAAAAGCCCGGGGCAGTCCTACACACCAGCCCATGGTCAGGGCCTGCCGAAGACTCTCGGCATCCTGTTTCCTCGGCTCTACCGGCTCCCGGAATGCTTGGAGCATAGTCAAACCCCGATTACACTCGCCTCCCACGGCATTGTGCTCTATGTCCTCCTAGGCATCGCCTGTCTCTGGGTGGCCTTGACCATCTTGGAGAAGTGCAGGATGAGATCTGGGAGAAGTGCTGGATGAAATCCTGCCCTTTTTGGTTACGAGCATCCAGTTTCTGGTTCCCATTGATTCTGAGAGAGGAGCAAAATGCTCTGTTCCTTAATGCGAGTTCTCCCAGGCTCTGTGCTCACTCTTAATCACTAAGCCGTCTTTCTAGGCCCTAAAACATCTTCAAATAACTTTAACAGTTCACAGTAGTGAAGACAAGCCAAATCACAAAATACTGCATTCAATATTTCAATTTTTTTTGAGAAAAAGAAAAGATAGTTTTCAAAAAAACAAAAACAAACAAAAACCTGGCAGGGCCTGGGTGTAGATATGGAGTTTGTTTGAGGGGCAGTTCTGATGGAAATGAATGAGAAGAGCTGCAGAATGGAAGGGTTTCACGTAGCCCGAGTCAATTCTTGTACAACATTTTCGTACTGCTGCTTTGTGGTCATGTACTGCAGCCTCCTGGGAGAGAAAGCGTGTGCACTTCGTGGGTGAAGGCATCAGGGTTGATATTTGGTACAGAAGCTCCTCCTTTCATGGTTCTTGCTTACATGGGTTCGAAATAGTTTTTGGTTGCTCCATAGTTCTCTCCTGGCTTCTGTGTGGTTTTAATCCTGGAGTCGTAGGTACCTGTGGTAAACCATCTAACGGAGGAGTCTAGGGTCTAAACGTTTTGGTTAAGTATTCCAAGAGACTGTGACATGGCCTACCTTCTATTCATTATCGATACTTCGATAAGCACCGACTTTGGTCCAAATACTCCATAAGAAGTATTTTATTATACCTTTATGTTACAAATCCTTATATACAGGCAGCAGTCACTTTGTACCTGGACCCACTACAAAAGAATCATCACAAAATCCACATTTGATCTTCATCAGGCCAGGATCATTGCCCCTCGTCTTCACAAACAGGAGACTAAGGCACAGAAATGCTAAGTGACATAACCCACCACTTGAAGCTAGGGAGTGGGCAGGACCCAGGTATAAGCCAGGACTGTGGCATTTTGTGCAACCTCCTCCATTCTGGATGACCATTTCTGTAACTGCAGTGATTTATTTGGCTTCTAGATAGATAGTCACTTTTTCCTCTAGATTCTTGACTGCCCTGCCCCATGGACCCATAGTAATGGCCAGGCAGGAAAGATGGGCATGGCTCTCTGAATGTTCTTGAACTGACTCCTCACCGGTTGCTTTAGTATTGGCCAACAGTGGGCCTCAAAGATAAACTTTTTAAGCCCCTCTCCCTGACCCTAAAACCACCCCAGCTGGTAAACAGAAGGTAGGATCTGATGCTTACAGATCCTCCACTTCCGGTTTCCCCGAAAGATCTGTGCAGGCTTAAGATGCAAGTTTCCTCATCTGCCTTTCCTTTCCTACCCACCGATATGCATGAGACCATCCACATCATTTCCGGCTGTAGTTTTGCCGGCCCCGCCCGCCCACCCCCCAGAGGCTGAAAGGAACAGACGGACTCCATTATTGCATGGAACACACAGGAAATATTTTATTAATGTCCAGATGGAGAAAATGGTAGAGTAAAAATGTTTCAATAGAAATCCATGATTCTCCTCAGGGAGCCCACCCTGGCATTCATGGCGCCCCAGTCGTGGTAGCGCCTGTATTCCCCGGGCCTCAGCAGGTACTGCCGCCCCCGGTAGTTGGGCATCTCGTAGAGGACCCAGTAGCCCTCCAGCACGTGGAAGGAGTGGAAGTCACTGAAGTGGAAGCGGTCCTGGAGGTGGGAGCAGTCGTCGGTGATCTCCACCATCTGGCCTCTGTAGTCCTCACGTTCGTAGATCCTGATCCTGTGAGAGCTGGACTGTGGGACACACAGAGTAGACAAGAGGGTGTGAGAAAACCTGACCTGAGCCTGGTAATCCAGCACGTGCTGCCTGGGGGATGGGCTCCCTACCTTTGCTATACCAAGGATGACTGAGTTGGAAGAAAGACCACTAATACTCGGACCACTGTGCATATGGTTCAGGAGGTTGTGCACAGTGAAACCCGAGCGGTCACCACCACTCACCACACATAAACCGGCTCTGCTCAGTGCCCTTTTAAAGCAACTATTTTTCTGTTTGTTTTAGTCTCCCCCCACCCCATTCATGGTGGTCTGAGGCTCTCTTTGGAAGTATAAAAATAATTTGGTATTACAATGATAAACCAAATGTATCATTAGCAAAAGCCACCGTCTTGAACCCCAGGAGCATTAGGAGAAGTGGAGGGAGAGGAAGTTACGTTGCCTCTTCCACGTGAAGAGGATGGAACATTTAAATTCAGGAAGAAAACTCCACCCAGATATCCCTCCATCTTTCTTTGTCCCCCCAGGCGCTGGCTCCCTCAAAGGCTGAAAAGGAAGGACGTCTGAGATTGAGGTTCAGCTCTCAGCTCTGCCCTAGGCTCTGGTAAATCAGTTTTGGGGAACACCAACAACAAAGAAGTGGATCAAGAGAGGAACCCTTCACAACAATGGAAGGTCGGGCAGCTTGGCCTGGGCAAACCCTCTCTTCTGTCTGCTTTTGCTGTCCCTGCTCCTTCCCAGCAAGAGCTCTTGTCTCAGGGTCCTTCTCCTCCCATCCTCGGAACCTGCTGTAGGAAGGGGTCTCCTAGCGACTCGTTACAGGGATGAGCAGCTGCTCATGAGGCCCCTTCTGCTGTGCCCGTGTTCGGCTCTTCGCAAAGGACTCGCATGTGTGCAGACAAATTTGATCCTCAGGATAGCCTGTCACACACAGAGCAGCCCTTAGGACACGATGTTTTTTTTAATGAGAAAACGAAAGGCCAGTGCTTTGAGTATGCAGAAAGGAGCAGGAGGAAGGGGGTGGGGTGGCTAGATCGATGACAGGGAGGGAGGGAAGGGGAGGCGATGGCTCATATCTGAAAGGAGGTATCAATCTCACAGAGGTGGCGTGGTCCCCATATTAGACAATAGATGGGATCCAAACGGTTGGGGCTTCCTTTGGGTAACAGGGGGATGTACCCGAAGCCTTGAAATCCCATTCCCCCATCCCTCAGCGAGTGTTAGTAACTCAGCTATGTCTGTCAGCTCAGCCCTGTTTGACCAGGCCTGATAAATACATGAAGTCAGAAACGGCCTCCATCCATCAGGCAGCCTGTTTCTATATTCGTGCCCATGGACAGGAGGCTCAGAACCAAACCGTGCCTGCTTATCCCCAGCCCTGGCGAATTCGCTTTCAGCCAAGTAAATGAAAATGACCAGTGGAAAACTTTGCTTCAGATAGGTTTTCACGGGAACCTTGGAGACCTTCCTGAGCAGAGAGGGCACAGAGCCAGCAGAAGGAAGGTGACCACCGCCCCCAGTTTTAGCTCACCACAGACGTTACCAGCTTAGGAAGGGACTCACGTGGGGGATGAGGCGGCAGGAGCGGATGGAGTCGCTGAAACCCATCCACTGCTGGTAGTCGGGGTAGTCCCCACGCCTCAGGAAGTACTGGCAGCCTCCGAAGTTGGGCTGCTCATAGAGCATCCAGCAGCCACTGTCCACGCGCACAGAGTTGCAGCGGCTGAAGTAGGGCTGCAGGTTGGAGTGGTCGCTGCTGCACTCATAGTGGCGGCCCTGGAAGCCGCGGTCCTCATAGAAGGTGATCTGTAAGGCAAGGCAAGGCTCAGAGAGAGGCCTGATGGGGTCTGGACCCGAGGGCAGCTCCCTCCTCCGGGCCCTGGGAGCCCTGGGCTCACCTTCCCCATGGCTGGTGTTGGCGGTTCTGATGGGATGGTGCTGTTGGGTGTGTAGGGCCGGGAGCAGGGTCTATATAGCAGGAGGTCTGCTGCGTTAGCAGGATCAGCACAAAAGGGGCACGCGGTGGGACTGGGCACTTTCTCTCTTTTCTATATAATGACTGTGGGGGAGGTGTGGGTTATTGTATGTTTTCTCTTGGTCTCTCCAGAGCTTTCGAATGGATGACGAATCATTGACCTCGTTAAAAGGGTCACTTGTTGCCGCTCTGGCCTTCACGTGAAGCTGATTTGGGAAACTGAAACGGAGCAAAGGTGCTTAACTCGTTAACATTTGTAACGAAATGTTTTAGCGACCTTTTACAAATTCAAACAATGCGTATTTGAATAACAATGCAGGATAGTTACCTGCTAATACTTCCTATGAAAAAGTGGAAAGTGGGTGTGAATGTATCTTCTCCACAGGATGGTGGAGGAGGGGGTCGAATGGAGTTCTGCTGTGTCCTTAAGAACTTTCTTACAGCGGGGCACGGTGGAAGACTCTGGAGGCAGAGCCAGAAGGATCTACATGAGCTCGTGAGTTCGGGGCCAGTCTGCTCTACAAAGAGAGTTCCAGGACAGCCAGTTTTCTTGTAAGCTCTGTGCTGATCAGCCAGGATCCAGAAAACTAATGATAAAAGTTACAGGAAGGTGTGCCTAAAGAAACGCTGTTAAGACACCTCAGTTCTGTTCCTTGGAGTGTGAGTGTGACCAGCTCCATCTTCTTGGGTCTCATCACATGCTTCTCACAGCACAGTCCGTGAGACTCTCAGCCTTGGGGCACACAGAGTGACTCATCATTATTTCACTGGTTAGTTCCTATTTAATGTTTTGCTGGGAACTCAACCCAGTTCATTCCAGCTGCCAGTAAATGCAAGGGAATTTGTAAGGAGGACGTTTGGAATCACACAGCCTCGCAAAGATTCTGTCTTCGTCACCCTGGAGCAAACCCTGAGGGCCCTGTAGTGAACGCACTGCCTATAAGGGACTGGACTCGCTCCTCCTGTCCCCAAGACTCCCAACAGCAATGGGTACCTCTCTCTCTTTAAAGCAAGGCTTCTCAACCTTGGTGCAATGCTGACATTTGGGCTGAAACATTCTGTTGTGTGGGGTTTTCCTGAGCAACTCGAGATGCTTCTCAGCATCCTGTCTCTACCAGCCGGTGTCAGCTGACCCACTCATCCAATTGTGACAGCCAAGATTACTCTTCCTGCCGTCACTGGAAAACAAAAATCTCCTTTGCCCTTGTTCTTGGGACCCATTGCCTCTGAGGAAGCTGCTCTCTGAGTGCCTGGGTTCCATACGCAAAATTGTTTTTTCCTGAACAAAATTCACTGGATTGATTCACAGACACTTAATAAGCCTGGTCACATACTTCTCTTTTAAAAATTATTAATTTGGGAACTATAAATAAGCAGAAGGAGAAGAAAATTAAAAACCACAGTCTTGTACCAAAACAAGGCACTGCTGATGTACATTCTTATTATTTATTTATAATTTTAAAAAGATTTATGTGTATGAGCATTTTGCCTGTATGTATGTATATGCACCACATGCACCCCCAATGCTTGCAGTAATCAGAAAATGAGGTTGTGAATCACTCTGCATGTACTGTACTGGGTCTTGAGTCTTTTGGAAGAGCAGCCAAGGTTCATAATTACTCTATTTCTCCAGCCCCTGCTGATGTGTGTGTGTGTGTGTGTGTGTGTGTGTGTGTGTGTGTGTGTGTCTGTGTGTGTGTGTATGTTTGTTTGTTTGTTTGTTTGTTTGAGACAGAGTTTCTCTGCATAGCCCTGGCTGTCCTGGAACTCACTCTGTAGACCAGGCTTGGCTTGAACTCACAGAGATCTACCTGCCTCTGCCTCCTGAGTGTTGGGATTAAAGGAGTGCTCCACCCCTGCCTGACTGTTGATGTATATATATTTAAGTTCAATCCTTATTCTTTTGAACTAATATGTACATCTCTAGAATTTGTCTGAACGAAATAGTATACAAAGACAGTGGTAGTTATCTAAAAATTAAATATAAGAGACATAGTATGTTAATTAAGTAAATTATGAAACATCTGTTTGATGAGTTGCTCTGTGGCCATCAAAATCATCTCTAAAACCTGAGGATTTATGTAATGATATAGAAAATGTTCATCATATATTAAGGGGGAGGGGAAGTAAATCTATCAAAGATAAAACTGCAAAAACACTTCTGAAGATAACAGTAAAGAAGTTATAAATATGTAGAAAGGAATCTTGTACTTGGGGATTGGAATATTTAATATCATTTAGATGTCACAACTACCCAAAGCAATCCACAGGGTCAAGGCAGCTCTACCAAGACCCCAGCAACCTTTTATCCAGAAATAGAAAACTGTACCCTGAGATTCATCTGACATCTCAAAGGACCTGAACAGCCAAAACAAACATGGCAAAGAACAAATTTGGGAAGCTCATAGATCCTGATTCTAAAATTCATTACAAAGTGATGGTAATAAAAACAGTGTGGTACCAGCGTAAACCCAGACATGTAGGATGATGGAATGGAGTCAGGAATCCCGAAAAAAACAAAAAGGCCTTGTATGTGTCTTCAAAAAGACTTTAGCAAGAATGTTAAGGTCACTCAGCAGAGAAAATACATTAAACTAAATGGAAGAAGCCACACAAGACAGAACAAGTACGCCATGATTCCATTTATTTGAGACACCTAGAATGGTTGGATACAGAGAGAAAAAATAACATAAATGGTGCTTTTCAGGAATTGGGGTGTGGGAAATGGGGAACTGATGTTTAATGAGGGCAGAATTGCAGTCTGGAATGATGCAAATTTCTAGAGGTACACAGTGGTGATATCCAACATTATGATGGATAAGATACACTTAAAATCATATGAATCAAAATGTCAACCATGCTTACACAGCACTAACTTCCATGGGAAGTCCAATTAAGAGTAACTTATTGTTTATTTTTAAGTTTTTTCTTTATGTACCAACATTTTGGGTGATGGAAATATTTTACTTCAAAAATCAAAACAGAGTAAGAGGTGCTTCATTTGAAAACGACTGTCACTAGAGGACTAGGGAGATGGTTCAGTGGGTAAGAGTGCTTGTTGCACAACCATGAGGATCTGAATCCAGATACCAGCACCTGTATAATAAGCTGTGGTCTTAGTATGTGATATTAAGCTGTGGTCTTATTATATGACAATAAGCTGTGGTCTTATATGATAATAAGCTGTTGTCTTATAAGATAATAAGGTGTGGTCTTATATGATAATAAGGTGTGGTCTTATTATATGAAAATAAACTGTGGTCTTATTATATGATAATAAGGTGTGGTATCATGTGAACCTGTAAACCCAGTGCTGTGTGTGGGAGGAGGCAGAATGATTGTGGGGGCTGGCTGGTAGCCTTGCTGAAAAAACAAGAGCTCCAGGTTCAGGGAGGGACCCTGCCTCAAAGGCATAAGGCAGAGAGTGATAAGGAGAACACCAGTGCCCTCCTCTGGCCTTTAAATGTACCCTCACACACATGCACACATACCACACTCACACACACCATAAATTATATTAAAATTTTGTTGCGTTTCATATCCTTGTTTATCATGGAACTATTATTGTAGCCCATCTATGAAATCAGCCTAGTGCCCATTAATGGATGAGTGGCTAAATAAAGTGTCATAGGAAGTTTAATCTAGCTATAAGGAAGAATGATATCATGTCACCTGCAAGGAAATGGATAGAACTGGCAGTTATCATGGTAAGCAAAATCGTTTAGTCTCAGAAAGGCAAATGTTGCATATTTTTCCTCATGTGCAGAGTCTAGTTTTTTTTTTTAAAAGATATAAAAGCACAGGGAGAGTGTTTGGATAGAGGAAGGGGACCAGTTGGAGGGAAACATAGGAACAAGAGCAGATAAAGGGAGTGTGTATGAATGTGATCTAAATACATCGCATGCATGCAAGAAAATGTTATAATGAAACCAGTTACTTTATACAGTGCACACTAACAAAAAAGAAAAACACTGTTGCATTTTAGCAAAAATATATAAAATGTTTAGGTGGCAATTATATCACAAATATAATTTTGAAATTTTAACTGTTAGCTACAACTGTATCAAACACCTTCCAGACTATGATTTCCTAAGTATCCTCTGAAAAACACTCGTGTTCATTATAAAAGTGCCATAGTTTACTATTCTATGCTGCGGAAGAACGCCCATTTTTAACTCTTTATTACTATGGCTATTGCCCAAATAAGCTGCTTGCATATAACACTTTCTATTTTTAGAATTTTCTCCTTAGGACAGAATCCTAGTAGAAGACTCACTGGACCTAAAGTTAGTTCTCACTTTTTTTTCTCTCCTACTGTATTTTTGTTGTTACTTTGTTTTTGAGACACCCTTTTGTTAGGTTGCCCTGGCTGGCCTGGAGGATGCTGCCCACCTTAGTGCTGGGACTACATGCTTATAGTGTACCTGTATACATTCTGTTTTGAAAAATATTTATTTCGTGTGTATGTATGTGTCTGAGTGCATGTATATGCAACATCCGTGTTCAGTGACAGTGGATGTCAGAAGAGGGCATTGGATCCCCTGGAACGGGAGTTACAGAGAGTTGTGAACCACTGTATGGGTGCTGGGAACTGAACCCATGTCCTCTAGAAGAGCAGTAAGTGTTCTTTTCATTATTGTTGTTGTTGTTTTGTTTTGTTTTCAAGACAGGGTTTTTCTGTGTAGCTTTTGGCTGTCCTGGAACTCACTCTGTAGACCAGGCTAGAGCAGGAAGTGTTCTTAACTGGTGAGCGATGTCTCCAGTCCCTCATGACATTCTTTATTAGCACAACTAAGGAAGTGTGAAAGGGCCAGCTGTAGATTTCATCTCCATTGCCCTCCCTTAGTAGGTTGTGAATTCCAAGGATTATAAGGGAATTAAAAAGTGTTAGGAATTAAATTTCCTCTATGTGTTTAATATTATATAAAATGA